AATCAGTGTTGTAACTGAAGACTTCTATTTATTTTAATAATACCTAGTTATTACCATTGATTTCATTTTATTATTATCTATACCAATAGAAAGGTGCAAAGCTCAGCCCTAGCTGGTTTGGCTCAGTGGATAGAGTGCTGGCCTGTGGACTGAAGAGTCTGGGGTATAATTCTAGTCAAGGGCACATGCCCAGGTTGCAGGCTCAGTCCCCAGTAGAGGGGCATGCAGGAGGCAGCCAATCAATGATTTTTTTCCTCCTTATCATTGGTGTTTCTGTCTCTCTCTCTCCTTCTCCCTTCCTCTCTGAAATAAATAAAAATATATTAAAAAAAGAAAGAAAGAAATGTGCAAAGCACAGCATACTTAGCAGTATATTCTCAAATACTTTAAGACTTGGTGTTGACATGACACTAAGTTCTTTCACATTGTTCATTTCACAGAGCAAGAAAAATGGAAAGTTTGGATAAAGATTTGAAAAACTTAGACCTGAAAATAGTAGTATTTCAACTACTGTGTATATGGCTTAAATTACCAAGACCATCTATTTGCTAAAGATAATGTTAGGCAATTGCTTAACAGTTTACTTACTTGCTTGTGTAGACACAGCCTAGAGTAATGGCCAGACTTTCTTCAACCTTGAATACTACACTTTCAGTTATTCTTCTTGACTGGTGTTTTCATTTTTAATAAAAGGTAGAATTTTAGGGCTAATGTACATGTCTAAGTTCTTCCTTTTAAGATATTTGCCAAACATCTGTCTTTCTCATCCCAGCATTTTTTATTAAAAATGGGAATGTCATGGTTCTTTTGAACCCCAAGTGAATTTACTTGGTTCTATTTTTTAAATACTGAATATACAGTATAATCATATCCTAATTCTTGAAAGTACTTCGTCTGATAATCTCAGCTTCTGTACTTTTAACTCCTTTTCTGTAAAGTTTCCTGTAGGGCCTGACCCCATTTTCTCTTTACCCACCACTCCTAAACTTTCTTCAGTTTAGTGTTCTTCCTGGACATTCAACTGAATTTTTTAAATGATGAAACAATTCTGAATGGCAGTGTCCTTTTTTTTCAGTTCCCATTACCACTGCAGAATTTGACAGAGTTTAGCCACTCCTTATAGACCATCTGGCCTCCTTTGTTCCAGGGGAACTTCCTACTACAGATTTCCTTGTTTTTCTGATCATTCCATATATGACTCCACAAACAGATATGATTTTCTCCTCATAAGAGAGTTGTTTGTTGAGGTTCTTTCCTAGGCTTCTTCCTTCTTCAATCTTTCTAGTCCCTGCAAATAGAACCTTAAATGAATTACAACAAAATCGCCTACTAGATCAATCCAGAACAAGTAGATCCCAGAGGATCACACTTCATATATTTGAATACATCTATGCAGCTATGTTCTTTCTTTCTTTTTTTAAAAATATATTTTATTGATTTTTACAGAGAGGAAGGAGAGGAATAGAAAGCTAGAAACATCGATGAGAGAGAAACATCGACCAGTTGCCTCTTGCACACCCCCTATTGGGGATGTGCCCGCAACCAAGGTACATGCCCTTGACCGGAATCGAACCTGGGACCTTTCAGTCCACAGGCCGATGCTCTATCCACTGAGCAAAACCTGTTTCGGCCTATGTTCTTTCTTGATCTTTTTTTTTTTCCTAGGCAAAACTCTTAAATTTTGATCTGTGAAGTTTTGATGCTTCTATGTATTTGACTTTCTCCATCCAGGATGCATTCTTTTACACAAATTTTACTTGATAATAGGCCCTTAAGATATTCTCCCCACTGGAAATTTTATGCTGGACAAAATGTTCTGTATTAATTTATTCAAAACTGTCTATTAAAGTGTCTAATGTGTGCCACTAATTCACTAAGTTCAGAAAAAAAAAACTTCATTTGCTTTCTAAATTTACACTTTGCTCATATTTTCTTTATTTTGGTTAATGAAAACACTGTCTCCTAATATATGGTGACAGGAGAAGATTTTATTTTGGGTGGTGGGCACATGGTGCAATATACAGATCTTATAACACAGTAACCCGCACCTGAAACCTATATGTTCATGTTACCAATATCACTCAATCAATTTATTTATTTTTTTTAAAGAAAACTCTTTCAAGTGTCCAGCCTTAATAAAATGGAATCACCTTATGCCTCTCTTTTCATGGCCCACTATACTAGATGCCTAATTCTATCCTTCATCCTATATAATAAAAGGCTAATATGCAAATTGTCCTAGAACTGGGAGTTCAACCAGGAGGCAGGCCTGATCCCTCCCAACTGTCCTCCCCTGTAGGTCTGGTCCCACCCAACTGTCCTCTCCTGCCAGCCTGGTCCCCCCCAACTTTCCTCCCCTAAAGACCTGGTCCCTCCCAACTACCTACCGCTGCCAGCCATCTTGTGGTTGTCATCTTGTGTCCACGTGGGGGCAGCCATCTTGGACCACATGGGGATGGCCATTTTGTGAGTTGGGATGATGGTCAATTTGCATATTACTCTTTTATTAGATAGGATGTTAGACAAATTATAATATAAAATATAAGAGTTTTTGTATCTTTAATAGGAAGATACCTTGTTTTATTTTTTTTCAATTACCATTCATCTTTATTATTTTGCATTAGTTTCAAGTATACAGCAGAGTGGTTAGACTATCATATGCTTTACAAAGTATTCCCCCTGATTTTTTCAGTACCCACCTGGTACCACTCATAGATATTACAATATTATTGACTATATTCCCTATGCTATACTTTAAATCCCCTTGACAACTTTATAATTATTTGTAGAAAGATACAATGTTTTAATTTGTCACAATATAGTGACAAATGAGTTGAGTGTTTTATTGCTAGCACTAAAAAAAACCCTTTATTTATTTGGTCAATTGGTGGGTTTTAAAAAGAATGACAGGGTCTATTGGGTTAATCACTGGCTAAGAGCCAAGTTAACAGGGTTTCATTCTTCTAATGAGCCCGCTTCTCTGTCTACATTATGATTTGATTAATTGATTCTAAAGGTAATTAATTTAATTAACATTAAGACATCAAATGAGAAAACTGTTTTTGCTTCAATTCAGTATACACTTTTATTTTATTTTTATTTTTTTTTTGTTTTTACCAACACTTTGGTTGTAATTTCAGAATCTCAGAATAGTAGAAGCTTAGGTGTGGGATCTGGTTGGGAGGGAACTGAGGGGCTTGCCTTGAAGCTACATTTTCATAGGAACCATGCTGTTTAATTTGAATTTTATGTTTATTTGGGGTGTTCTGAAAGCTAATAGAGATTGTGGAAAAATGGCTAATAATCCACATTTACAGCTGCTTGTTTCTGGCACGCTGCTATGCGGGGTACTGCACTTATAAATACAATTTTAAAAGTACAATTTCTCTATTTAACAAATTGAGATTTAGAGTGTGAAGTAGTTGTAGAAAAGAAAATACATGAACATAAGTCTAAAAGCTAAGGAAGGAAAAACAGAGAAGACATTAAAAGTATCAGAATCACCTGGCCAGTGTAGCACAGTGGTTGAGCATTGATCTATAAACCAGGAGATCATTTTTTGATTCCCAGTCAGGGCACAATCCCCAGTAGGGGGAATGCAGGAGGCAGCTGATCCAACGATTCTCCTTCATCATTGATGTTTCTTTTTATCTCTCTCTTCCTCTTACTTCCTCTTTCTGAAGTCAATAAAAAGAAAAAGAAAAAGATCAATATCTGTATCAGACAAAATGGCACTAGAGATAGGACTTGTAACATGGACCTCAGAGAATGTGACCAGCTCACACTCTATAATTATATGTGGTTGTGTCTACACATGCAAAAAAAAAAAAAAAAAAAAAAAAAAAAAGATGACAATGCAGGTCAAAGAAGCAGTGACTTTACCTCACAATGCTTTTGATTAAAAGCTTTTAAGATTAATTATTTGAATATTTATCTTCATACTTGATTTTTAAAAAATATTTTTTTTTTTACCTATTTTAGAGAAAGAGTAATGAAAAGAGAGGGGAGCCGAAACCGGTTTGGCTCAATGGATAGAGCGTCGGCTTGGGGACTGAAGGGTCCTGGGTTCGATTCTGCTCAAGGGCATGTACCTTGGTTGCGGGCATATCCCCAGTAGGGGGTGTGCAAGAGGCAGCTGATCGATGACTCTCATCGATGTTTCTAACTCTATCTCTCTCCCTTACTTTCTGTACAAAATCAATAAAATATATTTTAAAAAAAGAAAAGAAAAGAAAAGAGAGGCGAAGAGAGAGAAAGAGAGAGCGGGAGAGGGAAAAGGAGAGAGAGAGAGAGAGAGAGAGAGAGAGAGAGAGAGAGAGAGAGAGAGAGAGAGAAGGGAAGGGAAGGGAAGGGGAAGGGGAAGGGGAAGGGGAAGGGGAAGGGGAAGGGGAAGGGGAAGGGGAAGGGGAAGGGGAAGGGGAAGGGGAAGGGGAAGGGGAAGGGGAAGGGGAAGGGGAAGGGGAAGGGGAAGGGAAGGGAAGAGAAGGGGAAGAGAAGAGAAGAGAAGAGAAGAGAAGAGAAGAGAAGAGAAGAGAAGAGAAGAGAAGAGAAGAGAAGAGAAGAGAAGAGAAGAGAAGAGAAGAGAAGAGAAGAGAAGAGAAACATTGATGGACTGCTTCCTGCATGCCCCCTACTGGATGAAGCCCACACTCCAGGCTTGTGCCCTGACTCAAAATCGAACCAGCTACCCTTTGGACCAGCTAGGGCTATACTTGGTTTTATTTGAGCATATAGAGCTACAGTTTTATTTGTTCACAAAGGCAGTTCTGTAATTGCTACAATAGAAATGAATGCTAATTTGATCCTGATTCGTATCTAATGATGTTTTCAACTGTCTTGTGAGTTAAGTCAAGAGGGCTTGAAAAATGCCAGATTTTATAAAACAATTACCTGCTCAATATCACACATTGATAATACTAAACTGATTTCAATTTTGTATCTAGGCCAACAGGTGACTCCAGCTGGAATTCTCAAGAGCCACAAGGATGTGACAGTGAATAATGAGTAGTTCCTACTGTGGCAACTCTTCAGCTAAGATGAGTGTCAACGAAGTATCTGCTTTCTCATTGACTTTGGAGCAAAAAACTGGCTTTGCTTTTGTTGGGATTTTGTGTATTTTCTTGGGACTTCTTATTATCAGATGCTTCAAAATCCTGTTAGACCCGTATAGTAGCATGCCTTCCTCTACATGGGAAGATGAAGTTGAAGAGTTTGATAAAGGGACATTTGAATATGCACTTGCATGACTGTTCCAGCTTCCTGGTTTTTAATGTTGTGCTCTTGAGACACGTGGTGAATACATTTGTAATTACCTTGAATGTGCTGCTGGAGAGAGGCTCATTTCATTGCCTAAATTCAATAAACATGCGTGGTTAATTTATCCACCTTGCTGTGTAAATGATAAACCATTGTGGGGTTTTCTCACTTTCATCTATCCCTTAATACTGAGGTGTCTAAAGAATAGAGTAGAAGGATCCTTCAACCATATATACCATCTTTATTCTTATCTCAAACATCAACCTTAAATCCCTGCTTTCTTTTTGTGCAAATGAACTCTGCTAGAGGCTTCCTGCTTCTGCCCCTCTGCAATGCCATGGTTAGGGTTAGAGTTAGGGTTAGGGTTAGAGTTAGGGTTAGGGTTAGGACACCCTCTCCACACCCCCAACTCCAGCCCACTTAACATTAGAGAATCACTTGTCTTAAACATATGGGATCTCTGGTCCCAAGGATAAATCAAATATGATTTCCCTAGTAATAGCCATTGGTCAAAAATATTCACGGATAAAAAAAAATTACAACACTAATACACAAACCTACAAGTAGCCACAAACCCTGAAGATCCCCAATTACCATAGTGTCCTGACCCTTCTAATTATTCTCCTTCTGGAATCGCTTACAATAAAACCTCTGAGCTTGAGATCCAAACCAGACCTGCTTCACACTGATACTTCCTCCTCCTCCTTGCCCTTTTTAAATTAAATTTATTGGGGTGACATTGGCTAATGCAATTAAAGTTCAAGTGTGCAATTTTAGGATACATGCGTGCCCAACACTCAAAGTCACATCTCCTTCCATCACCGTATACTTGACCCCTCTCCTCTTCACTTCCTCCCCTCCCTCTTTTCTCACTGGTAACCACTGAACTGTTGTCTGTGTCTATGAGTTTTTGTTTGTTTGTCTTGTTTGTCCATTGTTGATTTCAGTTTATATCTCACATATGAGGGAAATCATGTGGTGCTTAACTTCTTCAGTCTGATTTATTTCTCTTAGTATGATATGGTACATATAGACCCTGGAAAACTACAGCCCTAAGAAAAGATGAAATGCTGCTATTTGGGGCAACATGGGAGGATCTTGAGAATATCCTTCACTCCTTTTATCAACAGCACACAAAAAGGGAGCTTCCAGCATGATCTACTGGAAAGAGCACTTGTCCAGGAACAAGCAGTTCAGTCTCCGCTCTGCTACCACTTCAGCTGTGTGAGTGGGCTGAATCATCTCATCTCAGTGGACTTCAGCGAGGAGGCTAACTAGAGGATGCTTAATGTCTCTTTCAATCCTAGTGTACTATGAACTCTACAAACATGTCTGGCAACCCAAACATCTGAGATGAATGAGGACTTAAGATGTTATTAAAAAAAATTAGTTTAGGAGCTTAAACTCAGATATATTATTTTTAATATTGGTCCACCCCAAAACAAGCTTATGACCTAGATATTTATCTAAAGCAGATTTCTTTTCAACACCTGCAAAACAAGGATAAAGAAGCCCATTCTGTATGTCTTTGTAGGAATGCTAAGAGGACAAGTGACACGATGAATGTGAAAGGAATTTTGAGAACCATAAAACCCAGTTTAAACATACCTTTCTATCATTATTTATTATCCTCACTGGTTATAGTAATAAAGGTTCCCAAACCTTAAAAAGCAATGGTTTAGTGTAAATTATTCAAACTCTCCAGTATTCATTCTCTTCATTTGATAAGTAAAAATATAGAATTCTATAATTCCAAAATCTTTTCCAACTATAAAATTCTGATTCTCCATAATCAATGAATGGAAGAATAGCAGGAGATAAATAAATATAAAAATGTTTGTATCACTTAAGAATACAACACTGCCAAACATACCAAAAAAAAAAGAATGACTTATAACCCTAGCTGGTTTGGCTCAATGGATAGAGTGTCAGCCTGCGGACTCAAGGATCCTGGGTTCTATTCCAGTCAAGGGCACATGGCCAGCTTATGGTCTCATTCCCCAGTGGGAGGCATGCAGGAGGCAGCCCATCAATGATTCCCTTTCATCACTGATGTTTCTATCTCTCTCTCCCTCTCCTTTCCTCTCTGAAATATATATATATATATATATATATATATATATATATATATATATATATATTCTTATATTTACTGAGTTAACACTAAATTAGGTGTTTTCCATTTATTATGTGATTTGATACTTTTATCAATCCTTTGAATTCAGTATTACTATTTTCACTTTATTATCTCAATTTTATAGGTAGGAAACTGAAGTTGAAAGAGATGAACTTCCCAAGATCACCAATCTAGAGAGTGGTTGTGTTAAAAATTGAACTTGGTCAATCTAATGTCAGAGTCCTTGTTTAGAAACACTCTGCTACACTCCAACACTGTCCTCATACTTCTACAGATCTTACAAATACAGTTACTGCTCAGGCCTATGACCAAGAAATTTAAAACAGAGTCTCAAAAAGATATTTGTACACCCATATTTATAGCAGCATTATTCACAATAGCTAAGATATAGAAACAACTCAAGTGTCCATCAATGGATGAACGGTAATTGTGATAAATATATACAATAGAATATTATTTAGCATTGAAAAAGAAGAGAATTCTGCAATATGCCTAACAACATTACACAGTGAAATAAGCCATTTACAGAAAGGAAAATACTGTGTGATTCCACTTATATGAGGCAATTACTAGTAAAGTAGTCAAAAATCATTTTTAAAAAGAACAGAATGGGAAATAGGGGAGGGCGGAGAATGAGGAGTTATTGTTTAATAGGTATATAGGGTGTTTTTGTTTTTGTTTTTGTTTTTGTCAGATGAAAAGAGTTATGGGGATGGATGGTGGTGATGGTCTCACAATGTGAATGTATTTAATATCACTGAACTTGTACTCAAAGATGATTAAGGCAATAAATTTTATGTGAAGTGTATTTTATCACAGTAAAAATGCAAAAGCAAAAGCAAACAACAAAAGACCTGCCTAGCATCATATCTGGGACACGGAATGTAATAAATAAGTGTCCAATGTACTCCCTTTCTCTCAAGAAAAGAAAGAGAGAGGGAGAGGGAGAGGGAGAGGGAGAGGGAGAGGGAGAGGGAGAGGAAGAGGGAGAAGGAGAAAGAGAAGGAGAAGGAGAAGGAGAAGGAGAGGGAGAGGGAGAGGGAGAGGGAGAGAGAGAGGGAGAGGGAGAGGGAGAGGGAGAGGGAGAGGGAGAGGGAGAGGGAGAGGGAGAGGGAGGGAGGGAGGGAGGGAGGGAGGGAGGGAGAGAGAGAGAGAGAGAGAGAGAGAGAGAGAGAGAGAGAGAGATTGGCTCCTGAAAAGGGCAGGTATTGGGGGAACATTTGAAGGAAGGGAGACTGGAGGGGGCAGAAGTAAGTGCAAGTAGGTCCAAAGCCTGCCCAAGGCCAGTGAACAGGACTTGTTTTCGGCTTCAGCCTCATTTCAACTGATTTAAATAGCCAGCCCTACTTAGCTGAATCTGAAATGTGACTAATTCCTATGCCTGACTACCTTTTATTTGGGGAGTCAGAACTCTTTGTAAAGCAGATAAATCCCTTGTCCCAGTAGCCTTTTGAGAACAGAAGGAGTTATAGGACATGCTTGCAATTCTGTCTCTGTAGAACTACAGCCACATACATTAGCCTGACTGATTAGCATGACACTTACCTGACTAAGATCATCTAAGGGGTTTTACTTAGTCCCCTTTATACAGTCTGGCATCTGTTTCTCCCTATTTTAGTATGCATAGGATCTATCTCACTCTCTACTGATTCACCCCAGAATCTTGGATGTGGCTAAGTAAAAGTCACCAATTGAAAATATCTCCAGCCGAGACCGGTTTGGTTCAACGGATAGAGCGTCGGCTTGGAGACCGAAGGGTCCCAGGTTCGATTCCGGTCAAGGGCATGTACCTTGGTTGCGGGCATATCCCCAGTGGGGGGTGTGCAAGAGGCAGCTGATCGATGACTCTCTCTCATCGATGTTTCTAACTCTCTATCTCTCTCCCTTCCTCTCTGTACAAAATCAATAAACTATATATATATTTTTAAAAAAATCTCCAAAATAGTGAAAGCGAATGTAAGTACAAACACAAATTGACTCATTTATTCCTCACAGTAACTCCACAAGGCTAGTAGCACTATTATCCACAACTGCGTTTTACAGATGAGAAAATAAAGGCAGAAAGAGACTGAGGAACTCGCTAGAGATCACACAGGTAGGAAGAGGCAGGTCAGGATGGGAAGGGAGTATTTTGACTCCAAAGACTTCTCTCATTCCCTGTATCACACCAGTCATGCTGCTCAGGCAACTGGAACTCACTTGCATAGTTTGGGATAAAACACCAGGAGGACTCATTCAGTCTTTGCAATTGAAAACCATGACAGAACCTGCAGGGAGGAATTGTTTGTGCTGTCTTAATAATTACCACCTCCCAGATGTGAGCCAAACCTCTCCCTCTACAAAACTCAAAATCAGAGTTTGATAAAAATGTTTCCCAAAGGGAGACAAAGAGGTCATTTAGCAATGCCACTGGGAAACTTACCTATAGTTTGATTTCTTCTGGAAATTGTTTTTCTACTACATAGGAATATTTGCAAGAAATCATCAACTGTACTCTCAATCTGCTCACTTCCCATGCAGACAAGAGTCAAGGAAATAGGTATGATAAGCAAGATAAAATAATCTCAAATAGCATTTTCTAGTTACAAAGTATAGAAATTATCTCTGGAGGACTGCATTTTCTGCACATGCCAAACACTAGGAAGTCACTACGAATCATGTGAAATAAGAAGATGAGATTGAATTTATTCAGTTCCAAACAACGAAAGCACTGCTCGTATTTTGTTGGATAATTGATGTTGAGTAACACAACTCCCCTTATGAATTAAAGACACTTTATTTTACTTTCTACCTAGAAAGATTAATGGTTTACTAGTAGTTACTATTTGATGTAGTACTTAAGGTTCCTCGGGG